TATAGTTTCTAAGTCCTAAATACATCCTTTATATATTCTGTGTACTATTATGTCAGACTCGCTCGTCTACTGCTTGCTGGATCCCTCCCGATAGTTCTTTATAGATGGTTATCTTGTCGCTGCCTTCTTCCTTGTACCGAGGCAATTTCTGAGGACTGAATTCCATGCTGAGGCAATAGCTCAGCAGTTTCATTCTTAAATCCCTTTAGAAGTCTTGGTTCTGGCAATTTGTTACGATTTATTTAGTTACTCTAAAACTTTCACTGACATTTTGAGACAGATCCTTACCTAATTCGAGCACAAGCTTTATTTCTCAGTCACTTACAAGGCCTACAAACTGTCTTATAGTCTACCGGATTCTCATATTTTTTAAAAAGAACGTAGTTTTTATAACTTTAGCAAATTGTTTCTACGATCCTGTAGCTTTACATCAAAATTGCTAGAGGTTTGTTGTTTTTTTTCTTATGTGGATACAATTCAACAATCTGAAGGATGCCTTCTTCTTCATCTTCTGATAGATTCTTCTCCCCTGTGTTTAATTACAGAATCCTTCTCTGGTGTTTCCAAATTCTGTTTTGACAGGTGACATGAATTTGCTGTAAGCATCTAATATGCTGTCCTTGAACACTTTCCATGCTACCCGCAAGCATTCAACACCTTTTTCTGCTCCTTTAAATTCCTTTGTTACGTAAATGACTTCTCACCTTTATTTACTTTCCCCCTTTTAAATTAAAACACATACTGTATTGGATGTTTTTACTCTTCTCACCCTTGCAAGGACATTGTCTCAGAGTGCATTACGGACACAGGGCAAGATTCATTATCTGTCTGTATTTGGCCAATGAACAGCACCCTAAATTACCTGTTTCTTCCAGTCAAGGTCACCCAGCTTAGCTTTGAAGTCTATAGAGTCAGAAGAGACACAACCCACCCTTACAGAGTAGCTCCGATGTGTGATCCTGCACGCACCTCGGGAACAGTTCAAGAATTGTTTCCCTTCACGTAGGTCTCCTGATGAGCTGCACCGAGGAGTTATTGATGGTACACCTAAAAACGCAGCACCGTACTCCGTTACAGCACTTGACCCACATGACAGCAATTTAAGTCTCCTTTTATGACCGTGGTTGCTGCCCTTGAAAATTCTCTGGTTTCCTTGGTTTGTCATGTTTACCATCACCATCCTGGTGATCTCAGGTGGTTCCTAATTTAATCATGTCACCATACTTTTTCCCATTTAGGCATGCCATTCCAGTCCACGGATCCCATGACACTTGAGATGATACAGTTCATTTGTTTATCTGATTTGGCTCTTAGTTTTTCTTTAATACATTAGAGACCCTCTCTCACTGGGACAATCTTTTCTGTTACTCCTATACAGCTTGCACAATGGTGACCTGCTGGTTATGGTCCACTGGTTATCTTCCTTCAACCAAGCTTCTGACATATGCCATCTAGCTTCTTTATGTTTATTTCTCCATCTTACTTTTTAACCTTTCACTATTACTGGCAGGGTTGCCTATTTTTCTAAATCCTCTTTAAACAACATTTGTCGAACTGTTCCTGAGTATTTCTTACTTGAGTTTTGTCAGCTTCTGCCCCATCTTCACGTGAGGATGCAGCGATCATTGACATCGCCTGTAAAGGCTGTGCTGTCCTATACTGTGTAGTATTTCCCCTTGCCAGCTTTCCCCTAATTCCTTGTTCAGAAACTACTCCATAATCTCTTGATTTGCACGTCAGCAGTCTGCTTTTGTTTTGGTTTAGAAAACAAAGGATCCTTTTATTTCAAATGTTCCTTGGTTCATAAGTAATCTAAATCTCCCTCTTTTTTAATACAACTTTCTGCATGAAGGTGCCTGGAGGGAAAAAGTCCTCTGTCTGGCACAGGCAGGGTAGCAAGCAGGGAACTGTCTTCTCTCGAGGAGCGATTAACAACTTCTGTTTGTTCACCTCCATGGCCAACCACCTCTTTGAGGTGGGGTTTGTTTCTGTGATCAGTGATAGGGATGGGGAACCCGAAAACCTCCTCTCCCCAACAGCCAGCCTATTTGCCCCTCGGTTCCTCAGCCGTGCTCCACACAGGCTGAAACCTACTCGCTCACCCGACTTCGATGAACCGGGAAAAGCCTGACGGTAGTTTAACACTGTAGGCAAACATCCAGGACAGGATACCGCTTTAATTAAAGACATTTAAATTTACTCATCTAAATGCCGGAATCCACATTTGAAGAAGCCATCTAAATCAGCAGGTATTGGTGACAATTAAAACGGCAGAGAACGCAATCCACCTCACCCAAAGGCAGCTCCTACTCTAACCTTCATTGACTGCAACAGCTAGGGCCTCAGACTGGTTGTTTAAATGTAGATACTTAGCACCATTTTAAGCATTTTGGATGTCCCACTGGCCTCCTGCTGCCAGTGAGGAAAGGAATGGGTGTCCCATAGGTCCTCGGTCCTCTCCACCGGCTGCGGGCAGGTGCTCAGTTGCCCCGCACAGCCCTGGACCCCGGGGTGGGTCACAGAATCAAGCCCGAGTCCTCCACCGCCTGTAATGGGTCTTCTAATGTTTGACTCTATGTAGGTACCTACGTTTAGGCTAAATTTAGGTGACTTAAACTTGAGCTGAATCCCACCCCACCTACTCAAACCTGAGCCTATCTAAAGGAGTTCACCAATTAATTTAGCCAAATCCAAGTCCCACACCACAATATGCAAAAAAGATGGGTTAGTTTTTAAGATACTTCTGAAAATTGTTCTACTGTGATAAATAGGTAACCTACAATTGAAATTTTTTGAATTTAATATAATTGAAAACTTGTAACCCTTTAAGCACAAAAGTGGCAAACTAAGCCTCAAGGGAAGTTTCCCTTACATGTTGGCTGGTTGTTACTCTGTCTCCTACAGCATGGTGATTTTTCTAAAAATTTACATCTCCAATTCTACCTCCCATTGTTATAAAAGTAGACATGCAATGTACTAGGCTTTAGCCTAGTAACCAAAATAACTGGTTTTCAGTGCTTGGGTTTAGAATTTCTTTCCATAATAAAGGGCTTTTGTGCTATCAAATTTCACTGTGCATGAGCAAACAAAAAAATCTCACATGTTCAAAGACAAGGAAATGCCTTGTGAATTTAAGAGAAAAAGGAAAGAGATCAGAATGTGTCACATCAGTCACTTTATTATTTCTGCTAGAGCTACCAAACAGATGGTTGCAACTGCTCTCAAACTGCGATGTCCGTGATACTGCCCACTTGCCTTCAGGGCTTTGATTTCAGAAGCTTTTCCTGCTCAACTTCTACCTTCATTGCAATGAGTCATCAAAGTCACATCTAGCATCATCAATATTGCTTCGGCTTCATTGTCTTGAAAAGTGGCAGAAATCTTGCTTTGTGTACTTGTCATGCTGATACGCTTATGTTTAGGAGACCAGTTATTCAAAAGCCACATACCTGGAAAGATACTGCTCTCGGGCAGTTGTCTAGGTAACCAGTATTATTTCATGTGGTTTCCAAACATGAAATGGAAAGGATAAGGAAAAATAGAAAAGAATTCCTACTCTGTGATACTTAAAGAGTCTCTTTTTTTCAAAACTAGCTCATGGCAAACCTGCTACTCTGTGAGTGGTCCTTCTGGAACCATGGACTGAGATTCCATGTAATCTCAGCAAGGGTCACAGCATTAGATGTCTAATTTACCTCGATGCCTAATCTGTATCATTAAGTATACTGAGATACATACAGCAAGAACACACTCCAGACATGGGTTTTAAAGTAGTTCCCAATATTTTACTACAACATAAATTAAAAGGAAAATACTAATATAGTATATTTAATGTATCTCATTGCTAGAGTCAGAAATTCTCAAGTCTGTTCCTTGGAGAGCACCTTCTGAAGAAAACTGTCATGCTCTATTGAAGACTGGAAAATGCAGTTTTAACATGTTCTTATAGAAATTAATTTGTAGTTGAGGGATTTTTTGAGCAGAACTTGGACATCACTGCAGCTAAAACTTAGCTTAGAACCATAAAAGCCAAGTACCGACTAGTAAACATACAGGTAATTTTAATAAAGAAACATTGAAAATGCTATTTACTAAGTTTCCTGCTTCAGTGATGGCAAGCCCTGATCCAGGCACCTTTACTTCTTCTCTCCATAGAGAGGCAGTGAAGGTACCCAGTAGTGTTTTGTTCACTATTAACAGCGAAGGATATAAAGCGAAAAAATTGGTTTTATTTCCGACCCTTGCCAGTGAAACATGAATAACTGTTCAGACTATGCTCACAGCAGTCTGAAAGAACACAAATGGTATTAAGCCAGGCTCTTCTGGTCCCACCTGCCAAGAAATGTTCCGCTAATACTAGATATGACTTTCTATTAACTCAAGATAGCGTTGCATGCTAATAGTAAACAATTACAGGAAGAATACACAGGGCACACCAGAGAGTCCGATAAAGGGTAATGCTTCCAAACAGGCGATCTTTTCCAAGAACCTGTCCATCATGTACCAGAACCCTGGCTGGGCTACACTCACCACTAAGCAACTGCAACTGCATACACTTCTCTGAAACAAACTGCTTAATTATTTAAGGCTTGCCTGTCTAGGTAGTTAAGCTGAACACATGGCAAACAGAAAATGAAAAACACATGTGCGGTGTAGCTATGGTTTGGGTATGAACTCGAGCATATTAGACCCTACTTCCTTCATATTCTATTATTATCTTCAGGCAACTACGTGAATAGAGAGCGGAAAATATAGGAGTGTAAGTAAGTGGTACAGAAGAATAAACCATAGCAATGTCCAACAGAAGATGCGAAAAACAAGTTTTACATGAACACAGCAGCTACTAATGAGAAACTCGCAAAACAAAGCAACGTAGCTGGGTACTACTTTGTCACCGAGCTGGTCAGCACCCTTTGGTGTTCCACGCTATAATCTACTTCCTGACCAAGCTGGGGTAGGAAGCTGAGATCTAGAAAGTTAGGAAGACTTGTCCATCTTACCGTTAGATGTTCTCATCTGCCGCCTTCGTCCAACACGGTCCAGGCCGATGGGGGTACTTTGTGAAAAGGTGAGCGGCCGGAACCTGGCTGAGACAGCTTTGTAAGGGGGTACCTGGTGTGCTGGAAGGGGTGGCCGTGTCACAGGCTACAGAGAAAACAGGAAAATCCAGTATTAGTAAAGCTACCAGCAAGTCCGACTGAGCAAAACTCAGGTATGAAGTAAGGTTTCTTCAGCTAGCCCAGCTAATTACAGGGACAGTAAACCCCCTACTTTGAAGTGACATTGCTTAAACACTGCATACCATACCCACCAGCAGTGCAGAAAATACTGTATTGCGTTACAGTTCTCTGTTACATTAAAAACTCCTTAGCCTTCTGTTATCATCAGACACGCTCTGTAGTTTTCATCTTGTAATACTCCGTGCCCAAACGCTCTGGGATCTAACCGCTTTGAGAACAGCCTGCGCAATGCCGGCTGGCGTTGTAAACACGCGTCCGAAGGGAAACCCAAGGTGAAAGAATGACCAGAAATGCTACGGCTGGAAGCTGTGTTCATTTCCTGGGACGCTTGCTTTCTTCAAATAAATGTATTGCTTTTAAGTAAAATAAACGTATTTTACAAGGCAAAAATAATTGTCTAAATGATCCTCTGCTCTGAATTTCCCAGGAGTCTCATTAAAAAGAGGTAATATCAGGTTTACTCGTAACTTTATCTAGAAGCCATTTTCTTTAGTTAAATCATTTGTTTGCTTAATTACGATTACAGAACCTACCCCTGTTTTATTTGCAAACTGAGTCTAATTTTATGCTGTCCCTGAAGAATCCCACATTAGCCAGGCTGAATGTCCTTGCATAAACATTCAACATTAAAGAGCCAGACCTCAGCACACGAACTTCAGAGAAACTCATCTCTAGATCCTCTCTCATCCTTCAGTTGTTACTGCTCATAGGCCCTTCTATCAAGTAACCTGAAACAGTAGGGATGGCTTTTCAATTAACTCTCTCTTGACGCTCTGTTATGAAACCAGTGATTTAGTATTGTGTGAAAACGTTTCCTCACATCTAAGCCCTCAGACCAAAACAGAACACAAGAAGGAGGCAGCATTACACTTTTCAAATATTGGCATGGGTTTTCAAAGCCTTTAAGAAAAAAAAAATCACCAATGTGAAGATCCGTCTTCGAAAGCCCCACCTAAAATACTGCTAGCACAGGTATTCCTGCTTCATTAGTCCTTTCTTACGTTCCAGCTACAAATTTACTTTCTATCATGACTGCCAAAATCCTCAAGTGTATTGAATATGATTTAACTACAACCTCATCTTAAACCTCATTTTCCTCGGTGCTTTAGCAATATGCCAGGATTCTATCACGGAGCAACACCAAAAGGGAAAGTCCGATATATTGCATCGAGTAGCTCACAGAAGTGATGGCAATTACTATACACAAGTAACTGGCTGACAAAGCAACTAAGCTGTTTATTTCTGGGCAACTAAGATTTTCTGGTAAGGCTTCAGCCCAGACCCCTTCCCCAGACAGACAAGGATGTGCTGTCACTCAGCAGCAGGCCTGGGAAGACCATCCATCGCTCGGGTTAAAAGCCTGTCCCTGCTGGGAAGGCTCCGCAGTTTTGGTCTCGGCCACGGTGATCCAGCAATGTCCCCATCTGACCCCCCCACCAGCCCTCGCGGCACCATGGGAGCACTGCAAGGGTCAGCTCAAATACCTGCCCTGATGCGTGTTCCTTCGTTAATAAACTGATGCCAGCAAGCTCTGAAGAGAGATCCATTTGTTTTCAGCAGTAAATGAAGGGCTTGGAGAGTGTTAAATGACTTCCATGGTACAGCAAGGACTATTTGGGTTGCCAATACTTACTATACCTTGAAATCCATCTATTATTCTTGAGTAAGATAGCCTAGAATTTGTAACAGTAATTTTCCTCTATTCTTTTCCTCCAAGCTAAGTAGTGATAAAATTAATTTTAAAATATCCCAGTTATATAGGGTTTGAAACTAGGGCCTTTCCCTGGGTAAAAGGTTCATTGGTTTCAGTTGGAGTTTTGCTTCAAGATGCGTTTTTCATCAGGGAATTATAATGAAAAAATGTCCAATATACAGTATCAATGTTCATGTTAAAAACTGCTTTTCACAGGAGACTGAAAATCCTGCCATTGTTTCAGCATTTGATTTCAGCCAGGGGAGTACCACTATCGAGTGGCCTGAGAAAGATTAAAAGGATTCAAATTCCATTATTAACCACTAGAATCACAATTTTTGAGGATGTAAACACTATTCATTTTTTCCGTTGCTTTATCAGCTTGACAGTTGCTTTAGGTAGGAGTCCTCCAGCTTCTCTGGAAAGTGAAAAACACCCGATCGGTGCAGCGTCACAGAAGCCCAGGAGCCTGCAGCTCTGCCACCAACTGCGAGACGGGGCCTCCGCCACCAGCACAACAGCAAGTTCCTCTACACACGGTACCCGCTCAGCACTGCCTCCAGCGAAAAAGGAGCGATTTTTATCTTTCAGAAGCTTTTTTATTTCTCACGCTCTTACCTAAGCCAACAGAGATGGCAAATAAGTATATAGGTACTGCTCAAGTGCTAACTCAGGCACATGCTATTTTCTTGCAGGCTTCCTACGTTCATTCCATCATGTCAATTTAGTAGTATATATAAGCAGACATTTTATTCACATTGCCAGTTTTCTTAGATTCTTTCTTATTTCATTAATTTCTCAATTTATTACCAATATCCTTAAGCAATGTCCTTATTAGTTTTAAGCATCCTTGCTATGCCAATACCAAGATTTTGAACACCACAGCTAATGTCTCAGTTTTGAACAGGCCTGTTTTTGGAGAATTTGAAATGATCAACAAATAAGGTATTATTATCATATTTGTTTGCACTCCTCTGTTCCTCAGGCCCTACACCCTGTAAGGAGACTAAACACACAGCTCTATTACACACAAATGACCTCTTATAAACCAGTATGAGACATAATGATCATTCCAAGAAAGAACTAAGGTTAATTTACAATACAGCAAAGATTATCAGCATCAGTTTTATTCCACACTGTTTTGTTTCTTAACAAGAAGACAAAGTAATTAGTGACCAGGAAAGCAGAATTGTAAGTACACGATGTCAGCTTGACAAAAGGGAAGGAAGAGAAGGAAGCATCCATTCTATTTTCTAGGCTGAAGACAGAGACAAGGAAGTGAAAGGGTCTTTTGCAGTTTGCAGAGAGCACATCTCTTATCTTACTTGTGTCAGCAGACCTTCTATCTCTTCTGCTGGACCGCTTCCATAGAAATTGACCCCACCGATTACAGAGATGGGTCTTCTTTTTCGCCCTCTGTGGTGGCCTACTGTGCTGCTTTGGATCACAGACCCGACAGAAGCCCGTCCTGGCTGATTTTCTCCATCCGTGCAGTCTGCCTTCTGAGACTCCACCGCAACCGCATCTTCTGGTATAGAGAAACTTCTGATCGACATCTGGCCATAGTCTGAGAGAGGTCTGGGCCGAGATCTTTTTCCAGAGCCCCATCTCCTGGGTGTGACTTTTTGGGTGTCTGCTTTTTCTTCATCCTGGGACCTCTTCCAGTGGTCATCAGAAACAACCTTTTTAAATGTGAACAAGTCAAATAAGCCACAGAATTTTCTGACAGTTCATCATTTGTGAGTTTTTCATATGGCAGATCAACTTAACATTGCTAAAAGGAAAGATTTACCATAAATACAACAAATGCAATTGACAATTCAGGAAGAGAGTAACTTTGCAAAGGAAAGACATCGTGATGCTTGTGCTAAGTAAGCTTAACACCCAACCACCAGCACCTCTTAGGTAAACATGACTCATGACACAAAAAAAATCACGTATTGCCTCAGCACTACAGACAAGCCCTATCCTAAATACTGAATTCACTGAACGATGTCTTGGAAAGACAGCTCTGGCACTCACAGGACTTGTTCCTATGCACAGGTAGGACGTTATCTGTAACACCGGTAAAAGTAATTCAACCAGCACGCTGTGCTTCTGGAGTCTTTACCAAGGCCTGCACTGGCAGGACAAGGGGCAATGGCTTTAAACTGGAAGAGGGAAGGTTGAGATGAAATATTAGGAAGAAATTCCTCCCGGTGAGGGTGGTGAGGCAGTGGCAGAGGTTGCCCAGAGAAGCTGTGGCTGGCCCACCCCTTGGGGGGTAAGGCCAGGTTGGATGGGGCTGTGAGCAACCTGGTCTGGTGGGAGGTGTCCCTGCCCAGGGCAGGGGGTTGGAACTGGGTGATCTTTAAGGTCCCTCCCAACCCAAACCGTTCCATGGTTCTATGACATTCCTCTGCTTTACCTCTCTTCAGTGATGAAAATAAACAGCAAGGCTGCAGTCTGACTGCTTGCTGATCCCAGGTAACTTAAGCCGATACCAAACCGATCCCTCCTACCACCCACTCCCACACTCTCACCTGGGTCAGATCTAGAGATTGTGCACCCATGTGCGAATTGGGTGAGCGACCGCATCCAGTCTGGAAGGGAGAAGCTTATTTTCTACACGCTCAGGGAGGTTATACTCATAGGGACTAGGACCAGAGACACATTGTAACACAAATACAGGAAAAACTGATGTTTTTAGAGAGGAAGCTTGGAAAATGAGCATGTTGTTCCTATTTAACAGCACACCTGGCTCACGGAGATTTAATGCCCACAGGTATCATAATTGCACTGGTACTACAAGTTTGGAAATAAAATAACCTCAGCTGAAGTGCTGGTTAGAGGGAAGGTTTCTAAGGATTTCAAGGCATTTGGAGTAATGCTGCTGTAAACTTTTCTAGCAAAACCCCTGCAGTTTTTATTTTGAGACAAAATACTGCACATAAAAATTCATATTCACTTTTCCCTCAAATTTCCAAATTCTCAGCATTTCCTTGGCTTTTCCTGGCTCCTCTATAAAGAATAGGAAAGAAACAGAGAGAGGAAGACCGGTGTTTCTGGGCAAGCAGGATTTTGTCTGTCTCTGGCTACATTTTGTTCATCTGTTCCAGACCAGATGAAGGCATTTCAGGTATTGCACATTCAAAGCGAACATGCAGCCCAAAATCAGCCTTTTAGAACAATGCCTGTGAAAGAGTGACTGGACTTCACTTCTGTCACCTTCGCCACCGACCATTTTCAACCAGGCCAGTACAACTCCGACGAGCCTTTTTCAGGAGGCCACCTGATACAGCGGGCAGATTTCGCTTTTTGTTTGAAAGTTAGCTTAAGACAAATTCGACTGTATGAAAGCACTTCAGCTAGTAGGCAGAGTTATTAAACAGTCAGCATTTCAACACGATTACTGCAATTAAGGTATGAAAAACTATCAATGTCATACATTCAGTTTTTTCACTTACAGCATGAAATCTATTCTAAATAGAGGACTTCCATAAAGTCTGATTTCTATGGCCTCACACCCGTCACTCAAGCGTGCTTCAGCTTCTCTGCAGGTTCCAGCTCAGGGCCAGTCCCAACGGCACAGGCAACGCAGTAGAGAGTGACTGCCCGGCTGCTGCACGACCCAGGTTCAGCCAAGCTCTCCCTCGAACACAGCCCCGCCGAGGTCAGAGCAGCAAAATCACGGGTTAGATAAGGTTCTTACCTCAGAATCGGACACAGGCAAAGGGTCTCCACATACGCAGTAGCTGAGAAAGGAGCTCATGAGAGTCATTTTATGCTTTTGTTTTGCAAAGTCTTGTCCGTAAGAGCTAAAAATGTGAGCACACTCTCTGCATAACCAGCCAGGCGAAGTTCATCCCATGATCCTGTACTTTTAGACTGAGGTAAGGACACGTCACATGTCATCTCCTAATCTGCTTTTTACACCCTTATCTTCAGCAATAACATTTGCAAAGAGAGGACTGCTCTCCTCCTGCAGCACTCCACCTACAGTAGTGATCCAACTGACAGCCAGATTAATCTCTGCTGTGCAACAAACAATGCTGAAGGACGTGTATTTTTAGCCTTAGATCTATAAACTGCATTGAAGAATACTAATTAAACAGAAAACTTAATCCTCTCATAGCAAAAATCAGAGGAAACCAGACTGAGAACCTCACATTCCTCTCAGTGACCTGCTGAAGCTGGACTTGATCAAGTGACCGCTTACCAGTAGGAATAAAATACCCAGCGCACATCGCATCGGCTCCAGTACTGCAGGCACTTAAGCGTAAGCGTCATTCTTGACATCAGTGAAAAAATCATGAGGAAACAATTTTGTTCTACCTATCATCGGCTTTATACTGATGCAGCACCACTGACTTCAAATGACCTTCTCTTGATTAATCCTTTATTAGTGAAATCAGGTTTGTGTTACACAATTATTACTGGTAACATCTATAGCCACAAGCAGAGATATACATGGCACCTCATACAGGACGAAAATCAAAAGGTCATGCACTGACTCATGCATTGTAAGTGTTGGTCAAAAATTTCAAGGAATTTGAAGATTTCTGAGAAGCAAAGGTCTAAGCTCAACCCACACTGGGTTTTCTGAAACTCAGACCCGCTAGTCTAGCAAGAGCAGAGGATCACCAGTGCTAGCAATCAAGATTATTCATCTCGTCTTTTAGGCCACATCCTCAGTCAGGTTTCTTCTGAACACAAACAGCTCTACTTATTTACACTGACGCAAATGAATTAATTTTATCTGGACAGCTAAATTCTTATGACAGAATATTAGTTAAGTTGTTTTATTTCAATCATTTTCCTTTTTCCAGGCAGCTGTGTATCTACACATACAACCGCTTACTTCGACCCAGGCTATGCTTTTATTTGCTATTGCTCCCATGTAATATGCCACTCTCAGGGTGGGATCCAGCTCCAGATTCCCACACCTGAATTTCGAGGTCTGCAGTGGAGGTGTCTGTATGTCAGCTAGGTGTTTAAGCTGTCGTCATAGTCTGTAGAAATCTGGGGTGAAATTTTGTTGCCTGAACATACGCACCCAGGGCCATTTCAAATGTCCTACGGGATCTAAAGTATCTCCTCCACCACACACGATGCAAGGATGACACGGGACCTACGGGAGGCCTGGGCCATCCAGAAGCATCCCCTGGAGATGAGGGGGAACCAGCCAGGGCCCCTCCAGCAGCACCAGGTGCTTATGTGCCAGCGATCGAGTTGAGCCCCCAAACACGAGCGTCAGCCAAGCCCACAGAGCCGATCAGCACCACGGGCAGGAATCCGGTGCCAAGCCGGATCGCAGGCAGATGTAGACGGCAACTACAGCCATGCTCCCCAACGCTGTGGGGAACCCCGCGTGGCCCCATCTCCTGCTCCAGCAAGGTGCAGCTTCCCCATGATCAGCACCACGGGCAGGAATCTGGTGCCAAGCCGGATGGCAGGCAGATGTAGATGGCAACTACAGCCATGCTCCCCAAAGCTGTGGGGAACCCCGCGTGGCCCCACCTCCTGCTCCAGCAAGGTGCAGCTTCCCCAGACGGTGCCTTCCAGCTGTGCGCAGCTGTCTGGGATACCTGCCCCTCATTGCACTTGACAGTTATTTTTAGGTAACTCGGCTCAGCTCTTGGTGCCGCTTTCAGGTGTGCTGTTTGGGGTGTGCTCCCCAGGGCACCCCGACCGCACCGACCCGGCTACGGCGGGAGCTTTCCCAGTCAGCCAACTACACTGGAGCCTGAGCCCCAACCTCTCCTTTGTCCTGGGGCCAGGCTGGTTTCCCAGTCCAGGCAGAGCAGCTTCAAGGACTTGACTGTGATCTCACTCCACTCGACCTGGCACTGGTACAACCTTGTTGCGTTTAATGGCACATGACTGCTGCTGGCATTCCCTGTTACTCATTAATGCCAATGTAAGCAACAACAGCATCAGGTGTTTAACCACTGAAAGCTTAGCTTAGCCTTTACAGCCAGATGAGAGCCAGGTACTGCAACTATTACCCAGACTGTGGTGTATTTTTGATAAATTCAGCTCTCCAAATTGTCTTCAGAGGGATCGCTGCCCAAAGAGCATGAGATCTCATCTGTACAGTACTGATAAAGTGTTGCTTATATGGATGCAACTTTTATCAGTGAAACGGCAAAAAATTGCCAGTACCCGAAACTGCACGGCAGGGCTTCTGCTGGCACAGTTACCCCAACCATGAGTAACACTTCATCAGCCTATACCTGACCACGCTCTCCACTGCAGAAAAAGCCCAGACTGTAAGTCCGACCCAACGCAGCCCGCTGCTCGTCAGCTTGCTGCTGTCGGTAGGCTTGTGTGGGCTGACGTATCGCTGCCACCATGATGGCAAAGGAAAAGTGATCCCTTGGTGATTTTTTGTTAATGTGTTTATGCCAATAAACTCCCTAACGAAAATAAAATCACCACTCTATAAACATGTTGATGCCTGTGTACGTTGCTGAGGCTCCCTGCCCACTAAGCTGCATTTCAACCCCTACCATCACCTATGTGGATTTTTTTTTAATTTTATTTCTATGTTCTAAGTGTACCAACACAATTGATGCTTCATAACATATACAAATAGACAAGCTGTATTAAGGGGACAGTTAAATCTCTACCTGGCAATCTGCTGGGAAGCCACAGGAAGGTGCTTCTTGGCCTTGCTGGTCTCCAGGGGAAAGAGCATCCT